AGAATTCCTTCTCGATGTGATATTCAGCGATGAATCGCTGTTCACACGAGAAGGAATTTTTAATTCTCATAATATGCACGTATGGAGCGACGAGAATCCTCGAGTTACTCGAGACAGAAATTTTCAAACTCGATGGAAACTCAACGTCTGGGCAGGAATAATGGGCACGAAAATACTCGGTCCAGTAATTCTACCAGATATCTTAAATGGCGCATTTTATAAAGAATTTTTGGCAGAAAATATGCCAGAATTTTTGGAAGACGTGCCATTAGCAGAGAGGAATAAAATCATATTCCAACAGGACGGTGCTGGACCACACAACGCCAGAGTCGTTACGAATCACTTGAACGAGCAATTTCCTGGACGTTGGATGGGCCGGTATGGCCCAATATCTTGGCCCGCAAGATCCCCGGATCTTAATCCCTTGGATTTTTTCCTGTGGGGACATTGCAAAGAGAAAATTTACAGAAGGCTTCCCGAAGATGTCGATGATTTAAACAACAAACTCCATTATGCCATTTGGTCCATCGATAATGATATTTTGGAGAAGACGCAACAAAATTTATTGAGACGCATGAGAACTTGCGTTACAATGGACGGTAGTCACTTCGAACATCTGCTGTAAAGAAGAAAAGCTCTTCCAAGAAAATAATCTGCCCTTTTCAGGGCAACCAAATATTTCGTTTCGAAGAACATTTTCTCCGAGTTCGCAAATTATTAAAAACTAAAAATGTGTTACAAAGGAAGTTCTTTCAAGAGAAAAAATAATCTGCCTTTTTTAGAGCAACCAAATATTTTATTTCGAAGAACATTTTCTCGAAGGTCGCAATTTATTACAAATCAAAGATAAATAAAATACTAAAAAAATGATTTCTTTCGATTTTTAATAAATAATGAATAATAAATAATAGCTGCAATATTTTTTAATAAATTATTTTAATATCAAATTTGAAACGGTACGTTGTTTTGCGCGGAGTAACTCGTCGGAGTCAGGAGTTCGGTCGGTTGGGGGCACGCAGAAGAATGCTCGGATGAAATAAATAAAATGAAGTAATAAAACAAGATTTATTTCTTAACTGATGAAGTCTATACTTTACAAATCCGTGTGGATACAGAGCGTTTTAATATGTTGGTTTGAACGCGGTTTATAAATTATCTCGGCGGTGATGAATAATTGTGACGAGAAAGCGTCAGCGCAAGCGCGGGTGTTGCAGTTGTCCCTAGGCGACTGCGAGCGCGTGGGTCGATGCGTTCGAGCGGCGTCGATGGTCGATCGACTGATCGATATGTTCGGGCGCGTGCGTGGTGGTTTCGATGTTCGCTGTTGGTTCGATTAGTTCGCGATTGCCTGCCGGATTTGAGGACCCGATTTTAAAAGGATGAAGACGGGAGCGAGGACGCGCGTATTGCCCGCGTCTCGAAATGGCTGGTGTTCTAACGTGGAGCCGAGTATTCCCGGTGGTATACGGGTAGGCCCGTATGTAAGAATGAAGCCGAGTGTGCTCGGTAATATACGAGTGTGCTCGTATTTAGGTAACGAGACCGAGTATGCTCGGTTATAATACGAGTGCGCTCGTATGCGAGGAAACGAAACCGAGTATGCTCGGTAATATACGAGTATGCTCGTATGCGAGGAGACGAAACCGAGTATTCTCGGTAACGTGCGAGTATGCTCGCACGACGGAACGGAGGACGGTTCCTGGCGGCCGAGTATGCTCGGCAGGAATACGAGTATTCTCGTATCGCGGTCTAGAGCCGAGTATGCTCGGCGAGGATACGGGTGTGCCCGTAACGTGGAAGCGGTTCCTGGGGCCGAGTATGCTCGGTTGGTGCACGAGTATGCTCGTGCTCGTGAGGCTGCTGGACATAGACTTCGAGTATTCTCGAAGGATTACGAGTGCTCTCGCAACAGGACGTTCACTGGCGAGCAGTGAACGGGATCTGGAGGAAAAGCGGGGCCTCTTTTATACCCGGCTGCCGCCCGACTGGCGAAGGATCGGCAAGCATCGGCGGTTTAGCCGGCGGACCCCCACCTGGTAAATTTCGAAAACGGTCGGGTGTGGGGGGCCGTCCGGCGATTGACCGTCGGTGTTTATATGAAAAGTTTATCGGCGCGCGATGCGCCCTTTTTGGCTACGGACGATGTTCGGTCCGTAGCCGTGACGATGCATGCTGCATCGTTACAAATTATATTAATTAATATTTTTATTTTTTATTTGTGCGCGTTCTGAGATTTCAAGTCATCATACACATACGTTCACATTTGACAGTTTCAATTGATTACTCTCCGTTTGCTCTCAAGATTTTTCCCGCGAAAAGTTACGTGGTTGTTGTGGTAACAATAAATAACCTAAACAGATCAGTCGACCGCTTGCCACCGTCGAGTAAACACGTGTCGTGTGTTCGTCGAAGACGTGTTTCTTTTTCGAGTAATTTTCGCGCTGAGTGATTAGTTGAATATTTAGTTTTATCGATAAAGTGAGTGACAGGGATGTGAATGTGTTGTGTGCTTCGAAACGTGAAATGTGAACAATAAGAAAAAGGAAACAGTTACTCGATATGGATTTGTCTCATCGCGGAAGCAACCAATTGTTTATACAGAATGATACGCAAGTAAACACGTTGAAATTTCTTTGATACATCTCTCTCTCTCTCTCTCTCTCTCTCTCTCTCTCTCTCTCTCTCTCTCTCTCTCTCTCTCTCTCTCTCTCTCTCTCTCTCTCTCTCTCTCTCTCTCTCTCTCTCTCTCTCTCTCTCTCTCTCTCTCTCTCTCTCTCTCTCTCTCTCTCTCTCTCTCTCTCTCTCTCTCTCTCTCTCTCTCTCTCTCTCTCTCTCTCCCCCTCACGCATTTTTAAGTGCATGAATAAATGTACATGCATACGTGCGTGTGCTGTTTGTCTGTTGCATGCGTGGTGTGTGCGTGTGTGTGATGTGTGTGTGGTGCGTCTGCGGTGCGTGTGCGTGTGCGGTGCGTGTGTGTGTACGTATGCGTAAGAGAGAGAGAGAGAGAAAGGGGTGGTGTGTGTGTGTGTGTGTGTGTGTGTGTGTGTGTGTGTGTGTGTGTGTGTGTGTGTGTGTGTGTGTGTGTGTGTGTGTGTGTGTGTAATTTGTGTATCGTCAGCTGTCAGCTGATTGTAGCAGGCGCCTCACGTAAACACCCGCGTTTCGGTGAATGCGCCGGCCCTGCTTGTCTCTTGTACTCGGCTCATGATACGCTGCCTATTTTCCTTTGTATCTTAAAAACTAAGCTCCGGAAAAATTTTTGCCAAAGGAAAAATTGTCTCAGAATGCGCTGAGGAATATGTGTCTTTAAGGACATACACTTATTTTGAATCACCCTGTATAAGAATAATCCTTTTTAGATCGCCCAACAAACATAACCTGCGTAACCTACGGAACAGCAGGTTTGATCCCATGAAAACCGACTTGGTTGTACCCGAAAGTAAGTTTGGTCTTGTATTTGATTTAAATTGATCATCGTGATTTATAATTGATTTTTGTGGATTATTATATTACGTCGTTGTGATGATTTTTAGTGTCGTCTGCTATACCCCCGTCAGAGACCTTCAACCCTGCTACTGATAGTTTACATGCGTCTATTAGACCGATCATCATGCTGGCTCAATGCTTCTCCATGTTTCCGGTATGCGGTGTCAATAGAGCAGACGCTTCATATCTTCGGTAAATGGAAACAGTGTTTGAAATAAGATGGAAGCAAAATAAAAAAAAATATATTGATTAATATCACTACAAAAAGTTTTGGCAAAAAAGAACATACTACTATTAGTTGATAGCATATGGGATATAATATTGACTATTTATTATTTCTTTTGTCATTTATTTATCCTATTTATTGTAACACACATAGATATATACTAGTTTTTAAAAACAGTTATTGGTTATTGTTTTTTCTTTCTTTTTGTCTAAAATACTGGAAGGGGATACCTTGAGTTTATTTCAAGTAAACTTCAATTTACGATCTTCCGTTTTACAAAACCCTGGATTTACAATTGTTTAATTTTAAGAATAAAAATATTTAAGCTTTAAAACTATACATACTATACCTATGATGTATGTCGTTCAAGTGTCTTACAATCAGTTTCTGAGAGTGGGTTCTCATGAGAATGGTGTTAACAATGGCTAATTCCTACCTTTGTTTTGTTATAATACTTTACTTTACGAACTGCCGTTTTACGATTAATAGTTAGGAACGAATTAATTTGTAAATCGGAGTTTATTTGTCTTTTTATGTGAGTCGTTATTTTAAAAGTAATATAATACAATTTTCTCGATTTTAACTTTAATGTTTTCTATGTCTTTAACTGGAACTTTGCGCACTTTACGAATCTCAAATGTCTCGCAGATTTACATGGCGCAGTCCAAAAATTCTATATTCAGCGATTGTTTTCCTGGGAATAGTTACTGTGTCAGTTTGTAACGTGTGGCAGTTGTATTCCATGGGAATAAATTCCACCAACATGAGTAAGTTACTTTTAATAACAATAACATTACATCCACATTGAACCATTTTTGAATTATGCTTGTCCTAAATATTAGCATCCTTTGTCTTCTTTGCTACAACTCTGGTGACTGCCGTCATGTTCTTGCAGTTGGCAAGACAGTGGCCTTGCTTGGCATCAATTTGGGAGAAACTTGAGCGCGAATTTATTTCCAGACACCAAAAAGTTTCAAAGACTACCCTTGCAACTCGTTTTAAAATTGTAACTGCCGTTGTCATGTTGCTCGCATTAGGTAAATTATATCTTAATAAATGGGTAAATGTTTAAAATAACGCAGTCAGGCTCAATCATCAAAGTCACAGTTTTGAATAATGTTCTAAAGATTTTAGCTGTCGCTCGTTATTTATTAATAAATTATTAACCTAAGAAGTTTGCAAAGTAGGACGTAAATTTTGGACACCATATTTAACAGAATGTTTTCTTCGCAAAAATATTTATTTAAACATGATAAATTGAATACATGAGAAAAAAGATGGGCTCCGAATAATATTTTCAAACATAAATAGGTTGGATTAGAGTTTTTCTAAGTGGGATGTAGGAGAAGGGACGGAATCCATTACTTAATAAATGTAAATGCATTCTGAAAATATTTTGAACAACGATCTTAAAATTTATTTATTAAGTGATACAAAAGCTAAAGGATGCAAAAAAGCCATTATTTTACAAAATTGATATTCGCTCATTGCATCTCACACAAATAATTAATGAGAATTTGTTCATTATATGTTATATGTAAAAATTCGTACAGCAACATGTTAACGTTAGAAATTCACAACAGAAATTGTGTACCCGATAATACTTCAGTAACAATTAAGAGGAACACATTTGATACATAATAACAGCATAACGATCTATCTCTTCAAAATTTCTTGGCAGGAAAACTAAGAGGAACATTAATTTGAAGTCAAAATAATAGCTTACTTGTACCTATTAACGAATTACATACTATTTATTGATGAATAAATTGTAAAACTTCGTTTAAAACATTTTTATAATGCATTTACATTTATTAAGTAAAAGGTTCATTCCCATTCGTCCATGCTTTAATTTGTCACGTTTTAATTAAATAAATACTTCAGCGAAAAGTACATTTTATTAAATGTACATGATATGCAAAAATTACATTCTACTTTGCAATTTTCTTTGGCTAATTATTCAATAAACAACAAGCGACGACTAAAATTCTTTTTTTGTTATTCAGGACAATGGCTTTGATAATATATGTCAAGGTTACGATCGAGCCTGACTGCTTTATTCAAAACATTTACCAATAAATGAAATAAGAATTATATTTACTCGAATTTATATTAATAACTACATTTACATTTATCTTAAATATTCTTATACAGTGGAACACAGTACCGTTGTTGTTTCCACATATATCAGTGCAGTGGAATGTGCAGCATATCGCAACGATACAGACGTTATCGGTATTTACTTTCAATCACAATTTCCTCAGGTAAGATAAGGTATTAAATAAATATAAACATAATTATCTAATTTAAGGAGACTAGGCAGTCAAAATCGATTTTTTTTGCATTTTTCAAAAGTGCTATCCTTCTTGAATAAAATGCTACTTGGTAGATGTCGAAATTCGCAAAATTACCGATTTGGCAGCCGAAAAGGTCGAGCGGCGCACAGATTCGAGGTGTGTATTAGTAACACAAAAAAAAACCTTACAAAGGTAAAAAAAAGTAGTACAAAGGTAAAAGACAAATACGCCAAGTACATAAAAAATATCCGAACTTGTACGCAATAAAAAATTTAAAAAATATTTACCTCTAAAAAATAATAATTATATAATAATTATTTTAAAAAATAACCCTAAACAATATTACCCTGAAAAATATTATTTATAAAAATATTTATATTAAAACTAAATATGAAGTCAATAGTTATTATACAAGTATATAGAAGCAATTTAATTTGCGAGGATTCGTAATTTGAAATAATATTTGTTATAAAATCAATCTTACATTTGTAAAAATATTATACATTATAGATTCTCTCCATAAAATTAAAATTTATTTTATTTTTATTAATAGAAATCTGATTTTTAAAATAAATTTAACTCATACAAAATAGTGTTATTTTAATACAAAAACACTGTCATCTTCGAACCAAAAGACTCTTGTACAAAATAGTTGTTTTAATTTTTTATTACAACGTGATTAAAATAGTGGAACATATTTAAATATAAAAAGAATTTTAATTTAAAAAAAAGACAAATTTAAATATAAAATAAATTTTTAATTAAAAAAACATGGCGCTGCTTGGCAGTTGAAATAAGAGTTGTTTTTAGGGTTCAATAAAATATTTTGATTTTTTTTGGTGGTACAAAATAGTACAAATTCGGTACTAAAAGAATCTGCTCTTTTTTTTCATTTTGATTATTTTTTGCTTTGGTCCTGCTAGCTTCATATTAAGCTAGCAACGCCACGATTTTTTCTGAAATGGCATGGGGTACAAAATTATTTTTTGTGGTACAAAATAGTATAAAATAACGCGCTAGGTCGCAATTGATTTTGTTGATTTGGTCCTGCTAGCTTCAAAGAAGTGACAAAATCGCTTTGCATGTGTGCGTGCGAGCGTACGTACGTGAGTCTGAACCTTATCCTGACTATCTAAAAGGTCACAATTCTAGAATACTATTATCATATCTTAGGATTGACCGCACCAATCTTATTCTAACTGGTCGCAATCGAAAGCTTGTATTCACATTATACACTACGCGTCAAAATTAAGGGATAGAAAATTTTGGGCCGATTTTTGGGTGTTTTTTGAGCGGCTGTATCTCCGTGAAAAATGGGCGAGAAAAATCTTTAAAAAAAGCGTTTTGAAGTTTGAATCTTCTAGTTTCTGAATTTTTGCAGAAAACTCCCGTATCATCATTTTTAACTGAGTTTTCCTCCATTGAACGGACCAATCCAAAAATGAAAAAATTTCCCCAAATTGGGCAACGTGCATAAACCAGAAAAATTTTTTTTTGTTAAAAACCGATTCCACGACGTTAAAGCTCATACAATTCTCAACAATTTGCTTTTTTAGTGAATGCTGTGCGATTTTTTTTTGACCGAGTTATTGGCGGTTAAAGCAAAATTCGTACTTTCAATTTTAAACATCTAATTCCGGAACAAATTGTCGTACGACATCTACCATGGACTTTTTGGAAAGTTCAAAGTCTCCCCTATAAGACGCTCTTTTTAGAATTTTGATCCGACATTTTTTTTATTTCGACATATCGACTGTAAAAACGTGTTAAAAAACGCGTTTTTCTTTTTTTTTATTCACCTGGGCGCTACTTCGTGAAAAATGATTGGAACCCTTGAGTGTCCACGTTTTTTTTAGTTAAAGGTATGCCCAGTAACCACGCGAAATCCCGAGAGCGCTGGAATTTTCTTTCCTAGTGTTCTGAAGCTCGTAAGTTACGTTAACTCATTAAGGCCCAAATGGACGTTTTTTCGTGGCTTTTTTCAGTGGCTGTTTTTTCTACTAAACCGGTCCGGAAAAAATTCTAAAACAATCATTTCTGACGTAAAATTTATTAAACTTTCAGAATTTGTCTTCAGAATTTTTCCAAAATGCGATCCGAAAAAGTTATATTTGTTTATTTTAAAAAACACCTGATTTTTTCACTCCAACATTTTTTTTAATGAATATTTTTGCATCGAAATCGGATGAAAATATCTCTGGGAAGTGAAAATCTTGCGTCCATGGACCCTAAGCTTCAAAATGTATAGTTGAGTATTTTGAAATTAAAGGTGGCGACGTCCAATATGGCGGTCCAAAGCCATTAATGTTACGCTTTTTCCGATTATTCCAAGCACAACAATTTCTTTTGATGAATTCCGAATGAAACCTCTACTGAGGTTTTTTGAGTCGCTGATTACAAATCTCTTATCAGATTTTTCGAATTCAAGATGGCGGATCCAACATGGCGGACAAAAATTCTCAAAATTCTTATTCCGTTTGAAAACATGCTTTTGTAACATTTTTTTTTTCTTTTTCGATATTTGTTCCTAGCACTGTACCATCAAGTAAATTATTAGATAATGCTTTTGGCTAAAAAATATTATTTTATATTTATTAATAATAATTGCATATGTTAAATTGCACTTTGTTGCAATATGTATGTTGTAAAATGACTTCATTTTTCTATTTACAATAGTAAATTAGTATTCTTTCTAAAATAATTAGTTATTAGTTTAACATATGCAAATATATTATTAATATACGAAATAATATTTTTTAGCCAAAAAACTAATAGAAACAAATATGGAAAAAGAAAAAAAAAGTTGCGAAAATCAAGTCTCGAATACGCTAGGACTTCGAATATGCTAGGCACTTGCCTTATTCGATTAGAAGCGCTTGTTTCTTCGGATGCAGTCCCATTGAGCACGGATCGGATTTCTCACCAGAATTCTTCACCAGTGAATTTTTGATCCTGCTATTTCTTCTAATCGGAACGCGTATTTCTGTCTGTATAGAACATCCGGAACTGTCCGGAACAATGTTAGTGTTAGTAACAAGCCAAAATGAGTGCCAAATATGACTAATAAAACTGTTTTTTCATCTATCTCTATGAATTTAGGATATTTTTAGTCGCATTGAGGTTAAAACTGTCTAATATAAAACTGTTACAAAATATAGTTTATGTTTCTTCACACATGTGTCCGTTCCGTTCCGTAAAAAATTTCTCTACCAGTCCCATGTAGCAAAAACGGAACGGAATGTCGCTTCGATCGCAAGTAAATGTACTTAATTACGTTAATATTTCGTTATTTAATGTCGTTTAATGTATTAATTTGTCGTCTGCTATGTATTTACGTCGGCTCGATGGTAGCAAGACAGAGACGTCCGCTCTTTCTCTATAGCCGAACGGCCGAGCGCACACGACGCGTGTCGTAAGCGCTTCTTACTTGTGTTGGGGCTCGAGAGCCGAGAGCCCGGTAGGAAATATCGCATCACTGACAGTGCATGTAACGGCAATGCTTCGACCGCAGTTAAAAAAAAAACATAACATCGATGGTATTTATATACATCAAGATAGTCTACAGTAAAATCCGTTGAGTTAAGACTTGATCAAGTACACGCATATTTGAAAAACTTTCAAAGTTATTTTTCTCGGAAACGAAACCTCGTATGAACAAATTTTATTCTATATTTTCGATTCAGTTTTTCATGTAGAATCACCACCTTCCCGCTTGTACCACCAGTTACATGACACCCTGTATATATATTTAATATATACATCTAATTTTTTTTTAATCTGTATGATAGCAATAAACATTGAGTAAAATGTAAATTTGGGTTTGCTTTCATTTCTTTGCAATTGACGCACAAAAAATCTTTATTTTTAAGCGACTTGACTGCCTAGTCCCTTTAAGTTTTTACTGTGCTTTAAATATTTTAATATGTTTTTATATAAATAAATTACAAAATTTTTACTTTTCCATCTTTGTCTATTCATTAAAATAAGTCGAAAATTCTTTGCTAACAATAAGTAAAGACTTATGTGATAATGAATTAGCATGTAAATTTAATTACCATTCTTTATACAGTATATATTATTAATCGTTAATTTTATATAGATTTTCTCAAGAATTTCCTACAGTCTCTGGAGAGGAATTTTGGTTGAAGTTATAAATATTCTCAGTACATTCTCATGGAACTTTGTCGATCTCTTTCTTATTCTGATCAGCATAGCTTTGGTGGACCAATTCAGGCAATTAAACAGTCGTCTTTATGCGATAAAAAAAAAGGTAAAATATTAAATACTTGAAATAATTGTTTTTATTAACGCTATTAACTCATCACTACTAACAACTCTTAGTATCATTTCGTTGTTAAGGCAATGCCGGACTGGTGGTGGACTGAGGCTAGAAACGATTATAATTACTTGGCGACCCTAACGCGCATAGTGGATTCTCACATCTCGAGTATCGTGCTTCTGTCCTTTGCCACCGACTTGTATTTCATCTGCATTCAACTGCTGTTTTCCTTCAAGTATTTTCCATACATACATAATAAATATGATTTTGCTTACGTAATCTAATATGAGTTGCGTAAATCCCGTATCAGACTACGCATTGGGAATTGAGATTGCGAACTGAAGATTGGAATTTGACCAATCAGGACAAAGTAATTTAAAAGTAATACTAATATAATTAGACAATCTTTAATCTTCAATTTTTAATCTCAATCTCCAATGCGTAATCTGATACGAATCTTAATCATCGTCGATTTATGTTACAATATAAGATGGCAATAATATTAGCAATGTTAATAATCAACAAATAAAAACTTATCTTTGTGTTCCGATAAGTGACATCGCAAAATGCTAATTATCTTATTATCAATTAACATAACCACAGTATAATCAGTATGTTCACTCGATATAGGCGGGAGGGAGGATAAGTTACGCAGGCTCGCTTCGCGCATTTATCATTTTAATCAATAAACCAAACTGGATCAATTAGACATAATTTATGAATGTGTTACTGTAGAATCCGTAAGTCAGTAATATAACTACAAAAAAGAGAGATTGAAAAACCATAGTTGAAACCGACTTAAATAGGCTAAATATCGGTTGAACATAGCTTTTCAAACAAGGATGCGATATTTCCTACCGGGCTACCGGCTTTCGAGCCCCACACAAGCGAGAAGCGCGTACATGTGCTGCGCAGAACGCTTTGCGCAGAACGCTTTGTGCAGCACATGTACGCGCTTCTCGCTTGTGTGGCGCTGGGAAGCCGGGAGCCCGGTAGGAAACATCGCATCACTGTTTCCAAAGGATACCGCATATCCTTTATGGAAAATTGTCTTCCACTGAATTTGGTTCAAAGTTTAGGATTTTATAGTTCATGTGATGTTAAGTAAAACTCAATGGGCACAACTCTTTAGGAACTACAGCTAATTTAACTAGTTTAGTCTGCAGAGAGTGTCAAAAATTGATAATTTTTAAGACTTTTTTTGCGAAAATTATCATATTTTTGCAGTTGATGGGAATTTCAACAAGTGAAACCAAAATTCATCACGTGAAAGTGTCTGCAATTCGAGTCTCACCCAGACCCTATCAATCACCTATCTATCTCCATCTATGATCGTTTAATCATTAATGATCATAATTCTATTAGCTAGCTAGTTAAAGTTTAGAACGTTCTTGGAGTGACTTTTTCTAAACACAGACCGACATTTTTAGACTTTTTGAATATAATATATCATTTTCGATGTATTTTTTTATGCTGAACACGATACCGGCCACAAAATTGCTCTATCACTTTAGGTTTTTGAGAAAAGTAAGGTTAAAAATGTCAAAAGTGACGTTTTTGGCATTTTTATAATTTTTTCGCTAGTAAAGTAAATTTTATTTTTTACTTTCGTTCACGCTGTCTTAAAGTGCCAACTTTTACCTTTAAACTCGATTGTTTCCACACTTCGTACGATTTTTTTTTCGCCGAATTAATTTCTCCGCTGTCAGAAATGTGAAGAAATGTGTTAACCTCTTCGCTGTGTTTGTATCAGTAAGGTACAACTAACTTTTGTTCGTATAAAGTGCATTATACACAGAAGATTTAAAATGCCAAAATCTCATTTGGGGAAGCAAAATGTAACCCATCCAGAAGTAAAAAAAAAAGCAGTATATACCACTTTTTATTGATATTCAAATATTTTTACAAATTTTGGTCCGCCATATTGGATCGGCTATTTTGAATTTCGAAAATCTTATTTCAGATTTGAATTGAGCGACCTCAAAACCCTTCATATTAAAAAATCATCATCCAGTTCTGAAATTTTGTTTTCCAAGTACGTTTTTGGCACGAAATGTTTATCTTCGTCTGACAGTGGAGAGGTTAACACGGCGGAAAAATAATCATACAGAATTACAAAAAAACCGAGATTAAAGGTAAAAGTTGGTACTTTAAGATGGCGTGAACAAAAATAAAAAATAAAATTTACTTTTCCAGTGAAAAAATCATAAATATGCCAAAAAATGTTAATTTTGACACTTTTAACCTTACTTTTCTCAAAAACCTGACGTAATAGAGCAATTTTGTGGCAAGATTCGTGTTCAGTGTGAAAAAATACATCGGAAATGGTATATTATATTCAAACAACAAAAATCATGTCGGCCAGTTTATTAAAATTTATTAAAAAT